TAGGCAATTCATGCTAGGAATCATGAAAGGGTACATCTATGACTAGCTATTTATTATTTTTGTATCCATGTTGCCTGCAAGCAGATGTTCTGAAGATATTCTGCCTCAGCTACCACTACCATGGCTCTGTTTTTGGGAATGAGTGGGTGGAGGAATGTTCTTTGTTACAGAACAAAATTGTGTTGGTGTTGCCATAGTTGGCAAGATATGAGGGACAGAAAGCAGCAGTCCATTCCAGAAGCAACTTTATTCAGCAGAGAGGCAAAACTCCGATGATTAAGATCTAGTGCAAGCATGTCTAATGTAAAGATATATTAGAAGCCAAATTTATTGTATTTAATTAATGGTAGAGGGAGGGCTGCACTCCCTAACACATCTTTAAAACATACAATTGTAAACATAGGGTGTGCAATGAAGATGTGGAATCAAGTACCTTCTTTTCTTCTCACCTGGACATTGTTTTTCAAAATTTGAACGGGATGAGTTTGTTTGTAATATGTCATATTTTTCAGTGAAAAGGTTCTTCTGCAGCTACAGTATGAGAAACAGCAAATCTGAAATGAGATGGTATCTTAATGGATATGAATTTGCATACCTACATACTTGGGGGCATATTAAAGTTTATGCTCCATTCCAATGGCATTTTTCTTTTACTGGTTTAAACATAGCCATTGTTAGGCCCAAGCCCAAATGTAACATAGCAAAATTTAATCCAATTCAATCTTTTGTTTGTTTACACCTAATGGACTAACTCTTACCAGATTAAAGCTGTAACTTTCTCTAAATATATCCTAAGAGATTCTAGGAAGTAGCTACACTGAACTTCTTCCTCCTTCTCCCCCATCCAAGGGGTGATCTGGGTCTCTGATAAGATTTACCCCTTCCTGGGAAAGCTCTTCTGTTGCCCAAACTCCTATCTACCAATTCTCCAGATCAGACATGAGCGTTTTACTGCTCTGGGACACATCCGGGCCTTTGGCTGTCTCTGGCCTGCATGAGGTCAATTGGAAATTAGAAAATAAAATGTAAATAAACGAGTTGCAGGACGTGGGAGAAGCAGCAGACTGCACTCCTTTAATTGTCTGGAGAGAGAAAAGCTTTTCTGAGTGGCAGAATGTGGCTGGGTTGAAGCACGATGTGGCTCTGCACTCCCTCCTCCCTTCTGCCAGTGGCAGAATTAAGTTCAATCTATTAATTTGGCCCTTTGTAACAGTCCCGGTTTCTCATGTGGCCCCTTGCTCACCCCTGCTCCAGGTGCACATTCCATCATAGCCTTGCACTCAATAATTTCTAAATTGTGAATGAATTTGTAGAGGACTATGGCTTGAATATTTTTAAAGAATTATTTGGACCCCCGTTATAAATTCTGTTTTTTTAAACCGGAGTAACACTTCTTTGTTGCATATCAGCAATGCAGGTAGGGGGAAATCATCAGAAAACGGATTTTTTCTGATCATGAACAAATTGTGCAGATCTTAGGTAAGAAAGACCAACAAGGGAAAGATTATTGAAATGCTGATTTACATGTTACTGTTAATAGAGATCTATATACTACTTCAGTCAATAATGTTACATAGCATTCTTATAATATTCAAGTATAAAAATGTCAAAATCTCTTCCCATGCTAGCCAGGTGGTTCAAGTTCCCCTTTAAGCTTCTCCTGGATGACTCATGGGCTGAAAGACATGCATACGTTTTGTGTGCAGTTAATAAATGCTGATACTTGCTATTCAACTGACATCAAAGAGATTATCTAGCACATAAGGCACTAGAGCCAAAACCAGTCACCCACATTTACACAAGCTGACAAATACACAAAATCCTCTGGTTGAAATGAGGTGGAAAAGAAAAATAGCACAGCAACAAGATTTGTAGAGTCTGTATTTGCAGCAGCAGATTCTGTCTGTCAACACCCAACAGCTAAATCCAGCAAAAGCAATTATTTTGAATTCAGAATACACAAGATGGCAATAGTAACAGACAGCATTTTTCAAGTAAAAAGTTACTTTATTCAAGTCAGACTTGATTTTATGCAGTTTCCTTGGCAGCATTATGGAAATGATTTGTATTGCCTTCTTCTGGGATGGATGGATGGAGATGAGAGAGAGAGAGAGAGAGAGGAGAGGGGGGGGGAAGAGAGAGAGAAAGAAAGAGAGAGAGAGAAAGAGAAGAGACAGGGAGCGAGAGAGAGAGAGATATCTTTTAGTGTAGCTAAGTTCGCAGGATGATAATCAGCTCATAAGTCATTTCAGAAAGAGTTGTATGAATCCCAGATACTGTAGGTTTCCAAAGCATCTCCCACAGTGTGGCAGAAGAGTTTACATATATACATTGCATATGAACAGTGTTGCAGCCCTTACGTACATCAAGAACTGAAGAGCAAAAGCCCATGGCTGTCCTCCACAAATTATTGTTGGAAATCGAGGTCCTGCCTTTCAGTTCCAACCATAAGTATCCTAAAGCCCTTATTGCACATGCATCCAAATCTGATAACACAATCTCATTTTTTTGGTTAAAAACCAACCTTAGGACAATAAATTACTCTTAGGTTTTAACAGAAGTCAGGTAAATAGCACCAAGTAATTTCTACATGGGCCATCACTCCATTATAGAAAAAGCCAGCTTTATTAGCACATAGAAGAGTTTGTTCAGACTTCTTTAATGATAGATTCTAGTTCCCACTCCACAAATCCCAAGAGTTCTTTATTATAAAAATGCAAGAGTTCATTCCCCCTTTCAAGAACATAGTGCTTCTTCCTCCAACCCAACTCTTGTCTGACAACCAAAAGCCCTTTGTTTCACCCCCTGGAGAATCCTAGTAAGACAGGTGTGATTGCTCCCATAATCCTTTGCTGGTGAGACAAGCTGCAATTATCTTCCAGTTCTTGGAGGTTCCTCAGGCACAGATGGCATTTGATAAATCCAGAAACTGATGCTCACAGGCAACTGGCATTCTTATTTGTTGAAGGCAAGTGGGTAGTGTAGCAGTGTGTACAGATGCGGACTGGCTTCAGATGCCTAAAATGGGGCAGTGCTGCCAAGTGGGATGAGCAACGAGAGCAGAAGATCTGAAAAAAAAAATGTCCATCAAGAGCAACTTGATAACAAGCCTCATTTCCTTTGTATAAAAGAAAGTAATAATGAACCCAGTGGTGGGATTCAGCCAGTTCACACCACTTCGGGAGAACCGGTTAACAACTTTCTGAGCAGTTTGGCAAACTGGTTGTTGGAAGAAATCATTAGGGCAGAGAACCAGTTATTAAATTACTTGAATCCCACCACTGAATGAACCTATGTATGAACTTGAATTTAATAAATGTATGTATAACTAGAAACATCCAATGAAGCAAACTGAAGTAGAAAGGATAATAACCATGGTTTAACACCCAATCATAATTCAACTTAAGGCCCAACACAGGAATACCCAACAAGCTGCAATTTAATCCTTTCTTTTACATGATAGGCTACTCCATTCCTCTTTCTTACTGCTCTTAACTGCCTGGTAGCTCAGTCCCAAACCCCTGAATAGATTGCCTCTTTCAGTTTGTCTTACCTAGAGATCTGCATTTCCGATCCCCCTTCCAGGCACAAGAAGGATCTTTTTGGAAAATAATCTAATTCATGAATTGAATTGAACTACAGCTCCCACCATTCTTGACTCCTGGTTCATCTACCCCAAAGTAGCCCTGATCGCTTACCTTCCCACAACTCCGGCAGTGGTGCCGTCGCCGAAGAAAAGTGAAAGACACATGGCAAGCCATACAGTGGCTAGAAGTGCTGTCTGGTACCCAGTCTGGTGGCACCAAAGTATCTATAAAGGTATAGAAGAGTAGTTGGCAAGATAGTTGTGTATCAGTCTTCTAAAGCCACTCAGAATCATAAAGTCCCCTGTCCCAATTTTTCAAGTGTCTAGTGTCTTTATTCAAGTAAATATCCCAGAATAGTCAGGCACAGAGTTCATTAAATGGAAAAAAAACCCCTAAATTAAGGAAGCAAAAACCTAGGGAAACCCAGGGAGCTTCAGAATAGGAAAAACTAATACAGCTCAGGACATCAGACTGATATGCCTCTATAAGATATCAATGGACTATGAACACTTGACAAGTGAAGCGTCATTTATCAGATAATGTATTTACGTGAGTGTGGGTGTGTACACACATGCCTTTGAGTCAGTCTTGACTCCTGGTTACTGCCTGGACAACTCCCTGCACTTTTCATGGCAAGGTTTTTCAGAAGTGGTTTGCCACTGCCTGCTCCCTAGGGCTGAGAGAGAGATTGGTCCAGTGGTGAAATCTGAACCAGTTTGCCACCTGTTTGCTGGCCGCGCATGTGCGGTGTGCACCAAGTGCGTGGTGCGCATGCACAGTGTGCAGTGCATGCCAAATGTGTGCTATGCGCATGCGCAGTGTGCAAAACACGTGGTGTGTGCATGCGCAGTGCATGCCAAATGCCCGCTGTGTGCACATGTGCAATGCGCACCAAATGCACTCTGTGCACGTGCACATGCATAGTACATGCCAAAGGCATGCTTCACACAGAAAAAGGAGGCTTGGGAAGGTAAGTAGAACAGCAGGGGGGGAACAGCTGTGCCTTGCGATTTAGATTCACTAGAAAGCAGGATTTCCTGCTTTCTAGCAATTTTAAATTGCATGGCACAGCTGATCGTCGGAAATACCGGTTGGGAGGACTACTGGTTCGCCCGAACCGGTGTGAACCAGTAGCATTTCACTACTGGATTGGCCCCAGGTCACCGAATTGGCTTTGTATCTTAGGTGGGATTAGAACTCCCAGTTTCTAGCCTGGTACTTTAACCACTACTCCAAACTGATCCTCAGTAGTGACCCTAACTATACCTAGATTATTCCTAAACACAGGAACATTTTCTCTTGCAAATATTGGTTGCAGCCACTTTGTGAACAAGGTCATCAGAGGCAGAACCCTTGCTTATTAGGAGCCTGTAGAGAACCCATTGCACACTTGGAACTCTTACCTTCTCTCCTCACACCTTCTCTGCTGCTGGAGCAGAGAGCACAGTCTGTTAAGAAAGGCGCTGTTGGTGCCACACGGAGATCCAACTCTGAAAAGGGGAAAGATATTAGCCTACAGGGGCTGCTGCCACTTAACGGAAACATTTCTGTTCCAAATATTGAGCAAATAAAACATTAATAGCCATTCCCAGAACTGTCCCAAAGGTGTTTTTTCAAGAGGCAACTGGACTTTCTTGTCTTAGATGACTGAGAATCTCCATAGACATTTAGCTAGACACTTTGGGATGAACGCCCTTCGAATGGTATGTATATGTTTACGTACAGTAATTTTTTTAAAATGCAGAGTGAGGAAAAGACGTAAGAAATAGCAAACCGAATAAATTAAAGGCAAGAAATGAAAAAGAAAACATAACTATTTTATGTATACTATTCACTATATCTTTCCATATCCTGTTATCCTTTCAAACCACCTCAATTCTGTGACATTCATACACCTTTTCATAATTGCTTTTTGTTTTTCTCAACTGTTTTCTCATGAACCCCATCTGACTATGACTCTCTTGGCCTTCCCCTTCCTCTCAACCTATTCATTTTCCTCTTCATATATTTGTTTTGCAACCTGATCTTCATTCATTCTATGTGACCAAACCAACTCAATATACTTCCTTTCACTGGTGGTTCATGATTGTATACAATCCACATTCATTCATCATTTGTTTAGTTTTTTTTGCCCTGTGGTTTTACTATGCACCCTTAAATTCAGCCAGTCACTCACTTAATGACCATTCATTCAGCAACCACTTGAAGATACAACAACACTGAACAAATGGTAGTTACTGTATGACTGTCCTTGAAGTTACGAACATGGTATCATCCTCAGTCACATAGACAAAATTTGGGCACTTGGCAGTCTGCCTGCATTTATGAGCACAGTGTGTGCTTAACTCATGTGGCCTTGTGAAGGCTCTTGGGCACATCTTGTCAGCAGCTAAGGAAGACAATAATGACCAGCAGGGGTAAGTGGTGGTGGTGGAGGAGTGCAAAGGAGCCAAAAGGGAATAGATGGGAGTGAGATAAATGGAGAGGGGAAGCTGAAGTTGAAGTGAGCATGCAGGGCAGGAGAAACATGAAGTCCTTGCCTGTCGGTCCTCATCTAACAACCACAACCAGGACTCTTGGAACTGCTGTCACTGCATGATGCAGTCACATTATGCTTCGCCTAACAACTGCTTTGCTTACTAATGGAAATTTTGGTCCTGATTAGAGTTGTTAAATGAGGAGTACTTATACCCCATTTTTACAGCATTCATTTTTTCTTAATATTCCTAGCTCTTTCCTCCATATAACAAAGTGATAGAAGCATGTTTTTCTTCAGGTTTTTTTTTCTTCTTTCAACAAACATCCATTCACAATGGATCATATACTGGCCACAGCCTTCCTCCTGCTATTTCCACAGCAGTTCTCCACCCATTTTCTCATCCTTAGGATACATTCCATCAATGTACACAAATCCTATTTGCTCTAGCTTTCCATCATCTATGTAAAATTTGTAAGCTTTCAGTCTGTTTTCCTCTAAAATGCAACTACTACTGTACATGCATTCATTTTGATGAAGGAACATGATTGTCCTAACAGGTTATACTTTGAATTCTCTTAGGGTTCAATTCAAACTGGTTTGGGAGAAATAGAATCATGCTACCTCTGGAGTAATGTGAACTTGATCCAAATGTAAACCAATATGTGCAGTTAATAGAGTTGAGGCTTGTCAGTTGTGGCACCTAAGTGAGAAATAAGTTTCCTTATTTGAACCTTTTAGGTGATTTTATTCTGGCAGATTTTTTTTTTTCATTTAGAATCTCTGACATTTTTACTTTGCTCATTCTCCAACTGAAAGAAAGTAACAAGGGAAGATGATTGATGAATCACTTGGAGCAAGGGATCCGATCAACTACAGCTATCCTGGTAATTAAATGCAACTGATCTAAGTGTTACAGGATCCCGAATCCTGATGCAACACTAACACTATTACAGAACCTGGTAATTTTTGGAACAGCACTGTATGCCCTCATCATAACATGCCATCTTCTTCTCATGCTGCTTTGCACATGGTGACAAGGTTATGGAGCTGTAGGTTAGCAAAGAAGATTCACTCACGTCCAGTGTCTGTCACCTCCAATTCTTCCACTTGGGAGGTCACAATTTTAAAGACACTCTTCAGAATGCTGCGCAGGTCACTTGCAAAATTAGTTTGGAGCTGGTCTGCCACTCCTGCCAAAACACAGCATTTTGAGCATTTCACTTGCACATGGGGAGGGGATCATGGCAGACTTTGGTACAAAAGACTCCTTTCATAATAAAACAAAATGCACAATAAGCAAATATTTTTATTTGAATGTAATCGATACAAAATGCCCTGTTTTTATTAAATTATCTAAAACAGAGCAGACATTTAAATATCTAAATAGGTCAGCATGTTAGAAAAGAAAACTGGTATACAATGATTTAAATAAATACATTTAAAGATTATTTGGGAGCCAACTAGAAAGTCAGCACAATGCCTAAAATGAGTTGAGATGTACCCAATTCAAACATATTAAGCCATCTATTCTCAGTTTTGCCATTTAGGGGTAGTACTAGCCATTCTTACAAGATGATTGTCAAAAATTTCTAAACTAAAGCAAAAAAACAAAATATAATGTACAACAAATGAAACAAATCCCCTTTATAAGCAACAAGGAACTGGGCACATTGTTGTAACATACCACATATGAATCTGCCCAATTTTATTTTCCTAACATGATTAAGATTACTTTTAGGCTAAGCCTTGGTTTTTTGGAACTTTGCTTCATTTTAGTAGGACGTTCAGTTCTTTTCTTCTCTCCGCTATTTTTTCCAAAAAAGCTACAAAAATACATCAGATCTTGGGGCATTTATCTGGTACACTGAACTTGTTCTACTGTACATTTATTTCCAAAAGGAAATACCTCACCACTTTAATAGGCTTTATACTTGTTCCTAACATAAATAGTTCCCAGTTACTGATCTTATCAGTAAAAATGAACCATGGTAGCGATGGATAGCTTGAAGAAAACCATATCCTTAATTACTACTGACATTTCTATGTTGCTCCACCCTAAATGATTGTGAGTGGCTTACAGCAGAATATCCTTGTTTAATCATTATTTTGCAAACTGTTAGATAAAAGCTAATAGCCATCATGCTATAGAATACAAGCAATGGAGCACTCACCAGAAATACAGACAAATAATGTGTGAATCATGTCCTCTATATTGCGGTAACGGCCTCGTAATTCCAACCATCGAGAGTTCAGTGGAATATCTGTGAACATTCCTCTCTGAGCACTATCAGATGCCTGCACAAAAGGCCTGTTAAGAGGAGAACAAGCCTTTAGAAAAAATGTAAAGAGCTTATTTTTATTATTGTTTTTCAACCATACCCTCCCTTAAAAATCTGTGTGCCACTCAAGGAACTACTGAAACAATGTTATGCACACATCGTGTCTCTGCTTTAGCTTGGGGACAAATGAAAATATCAACTCTTTACATATTTTTTAGGAAAGAGAAACATGACCACATGAGACTGCAAGATATAAGATTAAGGATCAAACAGGCTTGAGTCTGTGGCTTCTCTCTCTGACAGCTTCTGTTATCCATCCACCCCTTTCATCTCAAGTAGTTAATGCTGGACAAAAACTTCCCATTTAACTGCATACTACAAAGTATCTCGTGGTCCTGACCTTTTGATGACCACAAAAGACCTTCTCAGCAAGTTGTATATGGATAGCACTCCCAATTTATAAAATGAAGTTAAGCAACCCTACATTCAAATGGGTAGGTGGAGACTGCAGGGGAGGAGAAGGTTCTTAGTCACTCACTACCTTGGTACAGATGGGCAGGCACACTCCCTATTCCTGCAGGGCTGTGAATCTGCAGTGCATTCATTCAGCACACGTTTCTCCAGCTTGTATAACTCCTCCTTGGAAAGCACACGCAGCAAATCCCTGTAAGAGGAAGGGTCCATGAAGGAAACATCAGTGGCAACAAAATTAAGTGATCCTAATCTACAGGATGGACAGCTGTGTTCCAACAATACATCGGAAGGAATGTCCTAAGGGTGCTTTTTCAAGAGGCAACTGGATTTTCTGGTTTTTCTTTGAAGACGTTTCGCTTTTCATCCAAGAAGTTTTTTCAGCTCTGACTGGATGCTGGATTTATAAATCCTTCCATTCCCTACCATCAAGTCAGAGTTGAAGAAGCTTCTTGGATGAGAAGCGAAACGTCTTCAAAGAAAAACCAGAAAGTCCAGTTCTCTCTTGAAAAAGCACCTTTGGGACAACCATGACCTGGATGACTGGGAATCTCCATAGACATTGGAAGGAATTGCTGCTCCAAATTGCCCATATGGTATGACGTGAAAAGTAATGCAAAGCTAAGCATTTAAAAAAACGGGGGAGGAGCTCATAACATGCACAAATATATTGGCCCTGCTGCCCACTAAAGTAGTAAACTATTGCATTTCTCCATGATATGCATCATACTTCATTTTCAGAATGTCTCATCTCATCTTCTGCTAACTATTTAGAGAAGAAAGTCACTTTTACAGTCATTGCCTCCTACTTTTAATGACTACCTTAAAATGGATAATTTTGATGGCAATCTTTTATCTGTTAAAATGTACTCAGGGTTGCTTCATTTCATCAGAGAGCAACACAACAAGAACTGAAGTTTTAAAAAAAACCATCCCTCTTTTTTAAACCCATGACTATGTTAAATCATTGCATCAGTGAGAACACATAAACAAAAAACTACGTCTCTCTCCTGTACTTAATTACTAGATATAGAGAATGTCATCCCAAGTGAAAGAATTTAGGCTGCAATCTGAAGTGCTTTGGTCCAGGAAAAACACACTTCTGTTCTGTGGAATATACAATTTGGAAGCAAAAACTTCCACTAAACCCCCCCCCCCACTCCTTAATGATTAATTGTATTCCTATATAGTAATGCTATAGTCACATACCTGATTTTTCTAAGCAAGACATAAAAAGGGCTGAAGACTCGAGAAATCTCCTCTGGTCTCCTTTCCAAATTGAGGGGTCCATCTGGATAGATCAGAAGGCCACTGCATAGAAGGCAATAAAATAAAATGCCAATTGGGGTACCTGACGTCCATTAGAATAAAAGTACTTGACATATACACACAGAGTCTCATGGAAAGCACAATCTTAGTAAAACCAGATTGTTCATTTTTTAATTCCTTTTAGCAATCATTTTTGAGCATATTAATGACACCGTCATAAGTGTCACCTTGCTTTCTGGAAGGCCTTGAAGAGCTGATTCTTCCCTCAAGCATTGGTGTAGGATGAACCCAACAAGATGATATGTGGATGTGTGGGAGAGTGTTGCCCTAGGGGTACCAGAGTTTTTATTACGCTTGTTTGGTTGTTTGGTTGTTTTTATTATCTTGTGATTTGCCCAGGATTGTGTTTGTAATCCATAGCTACAATATATAAGTCTTTTAAATAAAATAAGAAAAGCTATACAGTACACCAAGTTGTCTAAGCCTTTCATAAATAAGCTTTCATTTTCAACAGCTTTCAGAATTACTTTTCTTGAGCCCTTTCATTTCTTACCAGTGGCTAATGTTGACCATAATGCATCTTATAGAAGTACCATTACTGCTTTTTGCCAAGATAGGAGATACAATGTTTTGAAAGACTATTGTAATTGGCATTTGGCAAAACCAGAAATGAATAGATTTGCCATTAGCAAATACTATCTTAGTAAGGATCCATAGTAAAATAAAATTTGCTTTTGAAAGACCAACCCAATTAAAAAGTTGCCACTTCTTCCATCCTTATCCCCACCTCAGGAAAGGCAGGCAAGAGGGCTGTTTGAAAAGAGAGCTATCCAGAAAATTTGAATTAACAATCTTAGTTCATGTTCTACACCAGCTACTAAGAATAACTTGATGGCAGTGTTGAGAGATCAGCAGGGTTCCTTTCTATATCAGGAACAAATCTGATATGCAGACTCCTGTGCTTTAAAAAGCAGAAACAAGTTCATACATATGATGAAGATCACAAAAACATGAAATGTGATTTTCAGATGAAGGGAACTAATATGTCACAAGAGAATTTCAAAGGAATTTAAAGAAAAGTTGGACCCTTTACTATATAAATTCTAATCAGGAAACAGATTCCCAAAGTTTTATATGAAATAACAATTTTTAGACATAAATCAGGGTTGCAGTTATGTAGCAAAGGAGGAGAAAGAATTTCATAAATTGCAAAGCACTCTTTGGAGGAGCATATTATAATCACCAATGTCAACCATGCAGAAAAGCACAAGACGCAAATTTGAACTCATAGTAATAATTTACTGAGTAAATGTTTTGTCAAATTACTTGTTACAAATTCTTCTGCTAGGAATATATGGATCATGCTACTTTTGATCATTAGAACTCTCACGTCCAACATTTTAAGAATTCCAACCTACAGAAGTCTGCTTCTATAGTTTCCATCTTGTAGGTGGCTGATTTGGTAGTCAAACACCAGCTGTTTACTAAACACATACCTAATAATAGCTAGGCGTGGAATGGTGAACATCAGCTGGGGTTCATATCCATCAATCATCTCCTGAGTCAAATAGCCAAGTTTCAAAGCTCTAGGTAAGCAAAGAGAATGAAGAGGCAGAGAATTAGAAACTAAATCTGTGGATATGTCTAAATTCCAATTGATTATTTTGAATGTACATTGGGCCAAGATAGTTATCCAAAGGAATGCTTAAAGGTTTGCTTACAAAGTCTAGTATCATTGTATTATATATGTGCTGGCTCAGACTACAGAGAGTGAAGAAGCTGTGTCAGAATGCTCACCTAGCCACGGTTTCACAGAAGAGTACAACGATCTCCTGCTGCCTATAGATCTCTTCAGGGGATTTAACAGAAACTAAAGATGACACATAGCTGGAAAAGAGACAAAGTTTGAAGTCCAAATGAACATACAATGCAACCCCTCTGCATTCAAATCCCCAAACAGTTTCCCCCTTTTTGTTTCTTTATCAAATACTATTTTGCTATCACTCCTTAATATAGGTAGCCCTCAACTTACAATCATTCATTTAGTGACTGTTCAAAGTTATAAAGGCACTGAAAAAAGTGACATGATTATTTTTCACATTTATGACTATTTGCACCATCCCTATGGCCACATTATCAAAATTTTGATGCGTGTCAACTGGCATATATTTATGATGGTTGCAGTGTCCCCAGATCATGCGATCACTTCTTGCAACCTTCTGACAAGCAAAGTCAATGGGGAAATTAGATTCACTTTAAAAGCTATATTATTAACAACTGCAGTGATTCACTTAACAACTATGGCAAGAAAGGTTGTAAAATGGGGCAAAATTCACTTAACAAATATCATGCTTAGCAATGGAAATTTGGGGCATAATTTTGGTAATTGTAAATCAAGAATTACAACTGTAAATCCAGGATTATGTGTAACTAATTGGATTTATCCAAGAGGTTTTTGGCATTAGTGTGTTTATGATCCAAAGAACAGCAATTAGGATTTTTCATCTCTGAGTTCAGCTATCACTTATTGCTCCAGTTCAGTTTATTCAGTATATTACCTAATATACTTTACCAAGCCTTGTCCCTGTAGCTACCTTTTATTAATGAGCACCCCCACTCCAAGCAGCTGTTTTCATCTCAAAAGGTTTGTTCTGCTTATTGCTCTCAAGGTCAGGGACTCACAGCCCACACTGTGGTTCCTACTTTTAACTCTGACCAAAGTCCTTTCTAACCCCGATTTCTTTGTGGGATTAATAAGTAGGACATAAACTGATATATAAGTGAATTTAGTCATACCTCAGTTCAAACTCAGCAAAAAGCACATCAAAGCGGATTAATGCTCTCCGGATAGTCTCTGAATAAGGTCCAGGTTGGTTTAAGCTTTGCTCTCGGAGTACCATCCGCACCACCTCTAAACTGCATAGCAAATCTTTGGCCAGAGGACGCAGCCGTACTCCATCTGCCTCCTCCACATCAATGTAGGTGCGTGCCATAAGACACTAAAGGGAAAAAAACCAAGAATACAGGAACGCTCCTTATCCCTCAGCTACCTTTCCACAAGACAACAAGTTCTAACCCAGCTACGTGAAGGATGCTGAACAACAAGGCCCTCCCTATTCACCAGGACATCGCATAGCCCATCACAAGATTGAAATCCTGTAGGCCAGCTTGGAAAACAACTATTCACTTAACATCTACCCAGTTTAACCCTGACAATGCCTGGAAAGAGGAATGGTCCAAGGTACTTTTTGTGGCCTGTCTATTACTGATCCCCCTATCAAACCACCTGATTTTGACTTGCCTCATTTTGTCTGGTTGAAATTGAACAGACTTAGGTGTGATATTGGAAGAAGTGTGAAGAGGAGGACGAGGGGAAGGAAGAGAAGAATGAATAAAGAAGAAAGAAAAGGAGATGATGATGATGAAAGAAGAAGTAAAGGGAGGAGGAGGAAGGGGGAGGAGGAGGAAGGGGAGGAGGGGGAGGAGGAGGAGAAGGAGAAGAAGGAGGAGGAGGAGGAGGAGGAGGAGGAGAAGAAGAAGAAGAAGAAGAAGAAGAAGAAGAAGAAGAAGAAGAAGAAGAAGAAGAAGAAGAAGAAGAAGAAGAAGAAGAAGAAGAAGTAGTAGTAGTAGTAGTAGTAGTAGTAGTAGTAGTAGTAGTCTTTCCCCAACACAAATTGTTGCAGAGCAATACTCACAAGGTACTCTAGTTTTAATTTCTGAAATAATTCCAGGCTATATCTCAGTAAAGATGGAACCTTCATGTCCTAAATATTCAGCAACTATCTGGACCATACTAGATGATTTGTGAGCCACTCAGAGTTGTGGTGTAAAATGGACAATCATATACATATTGTAAATACATAAATAGCATTAAAAAAAAACAGAAGGTGGATATTGGAACAGCAAAACCAGATTATCAGAGAGAATGGTCACTCAAGTGCTTTATATCTGAGTACAACTCCATTTACATTATATATTAAACACAATACAAAAATAGGAGACATTTGATTTTACCAGAGCATATTTTTTAGCTATGGTGGCATCTCAGTGTCTTCCTTCCATGACTCACCTCAGCAGCAAACAACATATGGTTCCGTAAGTTGTCCACTAGAAGGTCTTCAGGGAATTTGATGACATAGTCACGACCATGACGTTCCTTGGGGATACATTCCTCCATGATCTGTTCTATGATAGCCAGTAATTCAGCCTGCCAGAAAGAAAAGAAATGTTTCTACTTTTTCTAAAAATATATTTGACATTCCCAACATATCAATAGACAGTTATCCATTCTTCTCAGATCCATACTGAAGGGCAAATTCATAGCCCTGCATTTGAGCTAGAAATTAATAAAGCTACAAAGAATCAACAAACCATAAGAGAGCACTTGTAATATGCTCTACACCAGGGGTGTCAAACTTGCATCGTTATGACGTTGTCATGTGACATATCGTGAATTTTTCCCCCTTTGCCAAACCGGGTGTGGGCGTGTGATGCATCCAGCCTGCGGCCCACAAGTTTGACAGCTCTGCCCTACACTGAAATCAGTGAAAAGGGGAGGATCCAGAATTGAGTTTGAACCATTTGCAAGAATGGGTCACTTTTTTCCCCTTTAGCTAAGAGATAAAATTTTACTTTGGAAATATAAAATTATTTTAAATAATTAGTAAGACACTGTACATTGCTGCAAAATGTCCATATTTCTTCTTGCCACTCAGTACATTACAAGCTGCACCACACAACTGGTACTCTGGAAACAAGGAAAACCCAGATTAACCTTTAATGACAGTTTGGTGTAATGGTTAAGGCACCTATCTAGAAACCAGAAGACACGAGTTCTAGTCTTGCCTTGATTCCAAAGCCAGCTGGGTGACCTTGGACCAGTCACTGTTTTTTCAAGTAAAAAGGCAGTGACCAATCACTTTGAAATCTTGGCAAGAAAACTGCAGGGAGTTGTTCAGGCAGTTGCCCGGAATTAACACTAATTTGAAGACACCAACAACAACAACATTAATGTCTCAAATTCAATCCGAAAACATCTGGAGCACCACTTGAACACCATTGGCATTGACAAAATCACCATCAGTCAATTGCAAAAGGCAGCTTTACTTGGAACAGTTTACATCCTGTGACAATACCTTTAATATCATTAAACAACATCTATCTATCCCAGGCTCTTGGAAAGGACTCAAAAGGTGGAAAAAATGCCAATTGCAGTCTAAACACCTGGCTGTTTAGGCAGGGAACCATAATAACAATCTTTTAGTTGGTTTCCCTGAGTATGATCAGAATTGTAATTTAACCCATTTGAAGGACACAGGCTAAGTGGATTAATGAGTCAGGCTACTCAACTACCAGGGTTTGCAGTCCAGCTTGAGTGGAAGTGGTAGGAAATAGGATGACAGTTCATGCCATAAACCTCTTACTTGACAGGAATAACTTCTAGTTCTGGAGTTCCATCAGGACAAAGGCAAATAGAAATCTCTGCAGGGATACATGTGGGCATACAGGAAAAATGCAAGGAGGAAGTTCCACTTCTGTTTGTGAACGCTGTATAGTTACATTCACTCATTCACATACCTGACTAAGATGCAACTGGTTTAACAGTGTCAGATACTGTTGAGGATCAGTCTCTACATCCAGGCAGTTGATTTCTGTTACCACTTGAGTCACTCGTTCATCAGCATAGAAAAACTGTGACAGCAGTCTTGGATCAGAACGCTGAGGAGAGAAAGAGAAGCCTGGATTATACACAGCCATACAATATGAGACAATCAATGTTCAACAGCACCTTAATTGCATGTATACTTTGATATAAACAAAGAAACTCCCTTGGTACAGAAAAGTAGTTGCCAGGTGAATTCTAATCTGGCTTTTTCCCCAATGTGCTTGTTTTCTATATCTGGGTAATTTTTTAAATTAAGGCCCACACAGCCCAACCTGCATTTCATTGTGACAAATGAAGCAAAAATTATATCTGTAATCTAGACATATGCTTATAATATTTTAGACCTTATGTTTCATGTTTCATATTTTGTACTTTTATTTCTTGTGTTTTTATTGAAATGTGATGTGAATGTGCCATACGATAAATAACAGTCCAGCCTGCAATCTTACTCCAGGATGGGGACTGTATGGGCCTTCAGTTAGAAAAGTGCCACCTCTTTTTAAAAGCCCTATTCACGTGTTTATTCCTCTGCTTAGAGCTATTTTGTTTTCCTACAAAGATAAATTAAAGAAGATTTATAATTCCTCCTAAGTCAGTCAATAGCGTGCAAACAGAGTAAAGTCTTCAACTTTAGATGATGGGATGTTGAGGCAGGAGCCTCTGATTCTTATCCCAGAGAAAATGATTGTATAATTAAGGAACGGAGAATAGACACCTTCAAAAGTTGACAGTTTACTGGATATATGGCTGCAGACTCAAAACAAGCTGGAGGGAAAGGTTCAACATTTGGGGGGAGGAGTGCAACAAGCCCAGAGAAGACAGGATTCCAGAGTGTTTCAGACAGAGAACTTTTGTATATGTCAGGTTTCCCAATTCATGATAATCTCCTTGTCTAACATTCTGGTGCCTGTTTGGGAATGCACAGCAGAGAGGTTCATTCTTTTGCCTGATATGAAACCCTGCTATCAAGCACAGAAGGGAGAGAATTTTCTTGTTACACATTTTGCAACTATTTCATTGAGCAGAAATTCTCCAAGGGCTGGTTGCTCAGCAATATCTCTACTTAATTCAAGTATCAGAAACCAATCTCAGTTTTCTAACTGAGCTTATCAACACAATAGAAAGATTAAATGTATACTACAGGAGAACTATGAATGCAATGCAAATTAATATATAACTAAAACAAACATAAAAGAAGCTAAATGGACTACAGAACCTTGCAGTATATACTTGCAAACGGGCGTGCAGAATCTAAAAGGGCATGATGTAATGTATAACAAAGGTGGAGAACGTTTCTGAAAAAGGGTCCACTGATAGGCATTCAGCTGTTTAGGATGATCCAAGGCCCCACAGAACATCTGTGGAACTGCTATGAGTATTAATCAGGCTACCTGGCAGATAAAATTGCTCAGATCCACTCTGATTTAACTGGGCAGATCAGACTGCAGTGCCTGAGGCATGGTCTGGTGGTATGACCTGGGATGAGTTTTACCCAGTGACTCCTGAAGAAGTGACAGGGTTCTCTCTGTTGTCAGCTTGACCCCCATTCCTGGGTTGTAAAAGTGGCCAGAGAGATGAGCCATGATTGGGTCCACGCTATGGTCTTGGCCTTCTTGTATGAGATGGTAGTACCTTTTGCTTTGAGAGAGCTGGTGAGGCAGCCTCTGCTCAAGAGGCTGGAGAAGGTTGTTGAGAAGATTGTCAGTTTGCAGTTGATAAGAACTCTCATCAACTGCAGGAAATGGATTATGTAGACCAGTTTCAGATGGGTTTTGGATTGGGATTTAGCACTGACATCGATCACCTGTGATAGAGAAGGAAGGGAGATGGTAATGGAGGTGGCCACCCATCCTTGTGCTTCTTGATCTCTCAGTAGCTTGAATATCATTGACCCGATATCTTTCTGAACCAACTCTGGGGGTTAGGTGTTGCGGTTATGGTTTTATGGGGGTTCACTTTCTTTCTCAACAATTAGTTTCAGTTGTGTAAATTGGGTGGGATAAATCACTTCCTAGGCCATTCCCTCTCTCCCTAGGTCGGCTAGGCTAACCTTTTTGCCATCGTGTGCCAGGAGAGAGGATGGGTGGGGGAGGTTTGCACATGCGCGTGCCCACACCCATAATCTTATGCGCCCTGCCCTGCACAAGCAACACCCTCCCCCCCCTGCTCCTGGCACGCAATGGCCTGGTAGACCAGTTTTTATTATTTATTATTATTTAAATTTCTATACTGCCCTTCTCCTTTCGGACTCAGGGCGGTGAACAGCCAAAAATAAAACATTTGTACACAAAAGTTAAAATAGTTTTAAAATAATTAAATAAAGTTTGGCCCATAATTTAAAACATTTCAATTAAAATCAGTATCAATTTTAAAACCAATATAAAATCAGGCCAGCCCGGCTAACTGAAAAAAATAGGTTTTAAGGGCCCGACGAAAAGTCCGGAGGTCTGGGATCATTCGTATCTCTGGGGGTAGATTGTTCCAGAGGGTAGGAGCCATTACAGAGAAGGCTCTCCCCCTGGGGGTCGCCAGCCGACATTGTCTGGCTGACGGCACCCTGAGGAGGCCCTCTCTGTAAGAGCGAACTGGCCGGTGGGAGGCAATTGGTGGCAGAAGACGGTCCCGTAAGTACCCCGGCCCTAAGCCATGGAGCGCTTTAAAGGTGATCACCAACACCTTGAAGCGCACCTGGAAGTCCACCGGAACCCAATGCAGCTCGCTCAGGAGAGGAGTCACATGGGAGCGCCCCGTCGCTCCCATAATCCCCCGCGCAGCCGCATTCTGCACCAGTTGGAGCCTCCGGGTGCACCCCAAGGGAAGCTCCATGTAGAGAGCGTTACAACAGTCCAGACGAGAAATGACGAGTGCTTGAATGACCGTGCGTAAGGAGTCCTGATCTAGAAAGGGGCGCAACTGGCGTATCAGGTGAACCTGATAGAAGGCCCCCCTGGCCACGGCCGTCATATGCTCTTCTAAAGACAGCTGTGCATCCAGGAGGACGCCCAAGTTACAAGCCCTTTCCGTGGGAGCCAGTGATTCGCCCCCAATAACCAGCGATGGCGCCAGCTGGCTATATCGGGACGCCGGCAGCCACAGCCACTCGGTCTTGGAAGGGTTGAGTCGAAGCCTGTTTCTTCCCATCCAGACCCGCACGGCCTCCAGGCACTGGGACATCACTTCCAAGGCATCATTGGGATGGTTTTTCTTTCTCACCTGGCTCCAGGTCCCCTCTATGCATCTGGGAAGGGGAAAACAACCCCTCCAGAGGCCTGAAACGGCCCATTTCCCAATGCCCGGTGGAACAGGAAGTGACTTTTTTGCTGTCCCCAGCCTCCAGAGCCTCTCTAGGAGCCAGGTGAGAAAGAAAAACGGGCCTTCCACACACCCTCCCAGGCCCTCCGGAGGCAGGAAACAGCCTGTTTCCCTACTTCTGGTGGGCCCAGAAGGCCCGAAAATTAGCTGGCTGGCACGCACATGTGTGCCAGAACTGAGCTGGCGTGCCCACTGATATGGCTATGCATGCACCTGTGGCACGCATGCCATAGGTTCGCCATCACAGCCCTAGGTTATCTAGCATAAGACTATCCACTGGTTTGGGGTTTGGTATCAACAATACATTGATGACATACAATTATATCTTTTGATGGTGGGCTGGTCAAATGGGGCTGCTGATGTTCTGTCCTAGTGCCTGGACATTTTGTGGGTATAAATAGGGAAGAACTATCTCTGACTTAATCCTACCAAGATCAAGTGACTTGAGATAGAAATGTTCCACCTACACTATAATTCTGAACAAAGTAGCACTTCCCCATTCAAGAGTGGTGCACAGTCTGGAGGCCTTCCTAGACCCACAACTGTTACTCCTTGAGCAAATGGAGGTTGTGACAGAAAGGCCTTTGCATCAGCTGTATGAGTTGAAAGCTCTCCAAATTGGGAAGCCCTTGAGACAATCACTCATGCCTTGGTCAGCTCATGGCTTGATGAGCTCTACGTAGGGCTGTCTTTGAAGTTCATATACAAGCTTAACTGGTCCAGAATGCAGAGGTACAGATAATGATGGGCAAGCCTCAGTATGCCCATGTAACACCTTTACTTTGCAAGTTGCATTAGTTACTAGTTTGCTTCTGGGTATAATTCAAGATGTTGGTAGTTGCCTATACATGGCAAACAGCCTGATTACTTGAAGGAATGCCTTTCTTCCATAGTATCTGCCTGACCAATTAGATCTGGCAGAGTTGATGTGCTCTAGGTTCCTTTGATTAAAACAATGTTATCTATCAGAAGCAGATGTTCTCTGCTGTAGCACCTGCCTTCTGGAATAAAGATCCCCTCGAGATCCAGGAGGGTTCTGCACTGCTGGTATTTTGGAGAGCCTTGAAGCCCTGGCTCTTCATACAGAGCTTTGGCAAGGTAACTGAAGTCTTTTCTGAGTAATGTGAGATTACTTTGCTTGTTGTCTGGTTTGTGCCACCTTTGTTCTTTGCTTCTATTATTGCATTATTTTATTGTTCTGAGTGTTTTTAATCTGTTCAGAGTTGCCATAAGTTAGGCAGTGTAAAAAATGCAATATAGTATTATAAATAAGAATAGTAATAGGAGAAGAGGCAGAAGGAACAAGATATGAAAATTATTATTACCAGTTTAGTTCATAACAGCAGATTAACCTTGGGATCAAGCTTGAAGTTTGAAAATACTGCACTGAAATCAGACAGTAACAGCTAAGGGATAACATCTGTTATCCCTTTGAGCCCATTCCAAAGAAGAGATGCAGTTCAAATCTCAGACAGAAATGAACCCTAGCTTTTCACTCAGGTTCCACTAACAGGTAGGACTATTAATGTGTTATGTTCAAAGGTCTGAAGGTTTTCTATCACTGCAATAAACAAAATGACAATACAGCCCCATTAATCGGCTGCTTTGTTCTATTCAGATGGGGAGATTTGGGGTTGTTTGTAATGGTAAAACAGGGTAGAAATTTGGTAAACAAAAACAAAATAGGTTGTTTCCCAAGTTAAGTCATGTCATAATGAATCTTTAAAAACACAAAACACTT